TATTTTTAAGGTTTTAAATATATTAATATATTTACGTATATAGGTTATATAAATTAACACGTAATTAATTTAAACCTTATATTAATAAAAAAAATATTAAAATAAAACATATAAATAAAATTCTTTTAAATAAATATTTAAATATAAAAACTATTAAATAAAATAAAAACTTACTTATTATAATTATTAAAATTTATTTTTACCGTTTTTCCCTTTTTTTTTAAAATTTTACCATTTTAATAAATAATAATAATAATAATAACCTTATAAAGCTTACACCAGCAAAATAAATATATAAATATATACTTATATATATATTTTTATTTTTACTTAATTATTAAATAAAAAAAATAAAATTATTACTTAAATTAAATAAATATCTTATAAAACAACTTATTTAAACTAAATAAATTATATATATTTTAAATTAAATTAAACTATTAACCAATTTATTTAATTTATTATTGTTTTATGGTTTTTAAATATAAAATTTATCTGTTATTTTTTCCTTACTTTAATTGTTTAAAAAATTTAAAATTTTTAAAAAAAATATTCGAAATAAAAAAAAAAAGGTAAAAAAAAAATATTAATATATTATTATAATTTCGGTTATAATTTCCTTTCCTTTCTTTTTCCCTTTTCATTTTAATTATAAACGGTATATATATTTACTATTTTAATAAAATAGCTAATATTTATTTTTTTTTAAAAATATATAGTATTTTTTATATTAATATATTATAAATTAATATAAGATTTTATTAATTTTACAGTATTAATCTTTTTCATATAAAACGTTTTTAAGTTTTACTTATAAATTAAACCGTTATTACCATTAATAACAATAATAATATTACTGCCATTTTTTTAAAAAAGTTAATTAAAAAAATTTCCAACTTTAAATTATACAAAAATTCCGATAATTTTACCTTAATTAATTAAAATACTTTTATTTACTAACGCTTTACTTTTTATCTTTTTATATTAAAAAATAAATATACTTTTACTTTTATAACACAAATATTTACTTCATTTAAAATAACTAAACGATTAATTATTAATTTCTTTTTAAAAATAGTAAAATATTTTAATATTATATAAAATAAATCGGCAAAAAAAAATCCCTTTACAATTTATATATAATATTATTTTAATATTAATATATACTTTATTAAATAAACTTTAAACGAAAACGATAACCTTTTTTTACTTTTTTTTATTTCTAATTTTTTAAAAATATTTTACAATTATAATATTATTATACAATTAAAACAAATTATTAATATTAATAATTAATGGAAAAAACTTACCAACCAAAATTTTAAACGCAAAAAAAATTTAAATAAAAAATATTCTTTTATTTTTTATAAAATTTTTATTAATAAAAACTTTACCAATTTAAATATTAAAACGTAAAAAGTAAATAATATTTATATAATATAAAATAGCCTTTTTTTAATTAAATCATAAAATAGCAAAAAACATCGGAAAATCTTTATTATATATTAAAATATTTAAATAATTTTTAAAGTTATTAAAAATAAATAATTTTTTCTTAATATTAAAATAAAAAAACCCTCCCCTTTTATTAAACTCAAACTATAAAATAAAAATAAAAATAATATATAAGTTAAAATAAAAAAACCTTTTTTTCCTATTAAACTTAAGCTTTAAAACAAAGGCCATTTCGTATAAACTTAAAATAATAAAAAAAAGCATAAAATATTTATTTTTATATTAATTAACCTTAATTATTACCTTAAACTTTTTTAGTTTTTTTAGCTAATATATAAAAGTAAAAAATTATTTACTTTTATTAAAACAATTTTAAGTTTACCACTTTATATAACACCTTTACTACAGTTATTAACCTTAAAACGCGTTAAATTTTTACGTTATTACCTATTTTTATCACTTTTTAAACTATTAAAGTTATTTACTTTTTAATTGATTTATCGTATAAGTTTTATAGCTAAAAATATTAAAAAAAATTCAATAATATCGCCAGCTTTCAAACCTACCAATATTATTAATATTCCCGATAATAATTTTAATAATTCTAAAAATATTCCCGAAAAAACAACTCTTATTCAAATCTTTTTTCGTATAAATAAAGTTATACCTTGTTTTTAACTTAAAAAACAATAATTTAAAATAATTATAATAATATACGTTATTTTAATAAAGTAAATTAATAATTTATATAAATAATTTAAATTAATAAATAATTTATATAAAAAATAAATAATAATTTTTATAAAATAATATTATTTATAAATTACTTTGTTAAACTTTTTACATAAATTACCTTATAAAATAAGTATATATATTTAACCACTAAAATTACCAATAAAATAATATAATTACCTTTTATTTTATTAATTTTATAAAAGATTTAAATTTATTAATAATATTAATAAATATAATAATATATTTTTATATATTTAAAATTTTATAATTAAAATAAATTAATTAATATAAATTTTATTAAAATATAATTACATATAATTAAATTATTATAAAAATAATTTACAAATAAAAAAATATAATTTATAAATAATAGCATATAATTTACAAATAAAGCTAATTAATTTACAAATAATAATATTTATTTTATATTCTTTAATTATAATAACATACCTAATAATAATTATTTATATAAATCGAATTAACTTAAAAAAGCTAATTTAATAATATCACAATTATATAATAATATTATATTTTTATTAAAATATTAAAGAATAATAAAAAATAAATAAATAAGTAAAATAATTAATTAAATTTAACAAACCTAATTAAATAACTTAAGAAATATTCCTGCAATTTTTATATATTAATTAAATTAATTAAATTAATAATTATAATTAAATTTTATTATAACTTTTATTATATTATTTATATTATATTTTATTATTATTTTTATTATTATTTTTATTATTATTTTCCATATTATTTTTTATATTATTTTCGTTATTTGATTTTTTTTAAAAACGCTGTTAATTTTTAAAATCTAAATAATTTTTATTATTTTTATTAACTTTATATATATTTACATTTGGTATAACTTTTAAAAAGTTTATTTTTTTATAAACTTATTCTTTACGCTAATTTATTTTTTACACAATTTAATTAAATTTATTTTTAATTAAAAAATTTCGGATTTTTTCCAACCTTTTTTTTAATTTAATTAAACCACTTTACAAAAAAAATAATATTAAATTTAAGCTGCGAAGATTTTTATTATTAAATTTTATTTAAATTATTATTTAAAATTTATTATAAATTTTAATAAATAATTAAGTATAATTATTTTTTTTTATATAATTTAAATTAATTTTTGCAAAATAATTCTCGCATTATTTAAAAATATTTTCAGGAAAATATTAATCGATATTATTATTTTTAATAATAGTTTTAATTTTAGCTAAAAGTTTTATATTAATATTAAATTCTTATTATAAAATAAAATCGGAATTAAAAGAAAAAAAATTTTCCTAAAACTGGCTTCGTACGGCATTTTTATGATTTTATTATAGGTAAATCTTATATTAATTCCACTTAATAATAAAAATGTTAATTTCGTTTTTTATAACTAGTATATATATAGTTAAAAAAGCAATTTAAGAAATAAAATCGTTAAAGATTTAAAGTTTTTAATATTTTAATTATTTAAATAAACCTTATAATATTATTAATATTTATATTTTAATTTTTAAATATAAATTTATTTTTTAATGTATTAAGTAAAATATTTTAAGCTATAATTATTAAAATTTTATGCAAATATTATTTATATTTTAGCTATAATAAAAATAATTGCTAAATGTTATTATAATTCCATTTTTATTTAAATATTTTTTTTATAAAAAGGTTTAATGGGCGTTTAATAATAAAGATAATTCTTTATTTTTATTTATATAAATCGTATAAAATATATATTTTAACTTTTGTATAATATATAAATATTATTTTAAAATATTAATAGTAATATTTTTAAATTAAAAGACTTAATATTAAATAATAAATTTTAAATAATTATCGATTATATTATATATATAAAATCTTTAACGTTTAAATTTATTATAGCTGTTAATATTTTAAACTTGGTTAGGTTTATATATAATAAATTTTTTTTTTTATTTTTAAATATATTACGTATAATAATGGATTATAATAAAGAAAAATTCCTTATAGATTTTATATAATATATTTTTATATAATATTAAAATAAAGTAAAAATAATAATAATATTTATATAAATTAAAGGAAGTAATTTTTATTTTTATTCTTTATATTATTATATATATATTGTTGTTTTAATTTACTTAACTAATCAAATTTAAAGAATTTTTTTTTTAAAGTAACTTTTATAGCATTTATTTTTTCCTATTTTTTAGCTGTTATTTTTAAACGACGTTTTAAGTTAAGATTTTATCGAATTTATTAAAATTATTATCGAATAATATTATATCTTTTATTATTTAATTAGTTATATATATTTTAATCGGATAAATTAAATTAATAAAATAATAAAAAAATATTTTTTTTTAAGTTTTTTAATATAAATCCATTTTTTTATATATAATGTTACTTTTATAATTTTTAATTTTTTATTATGCGATTTAATATTTTACGTAATAGTTTTTATTAATATTTTTGTTTAAATTTATTTAAAATTTATTTAATGGTAAGGTTTTTGTGGAATTAAACGGTGATTTAACGTTTATACAGTTTAAAATTAATAAGTTTTTTTTTTATTTTAACAAAAATATTGTATAAAATAAAAAAAAAAAATATAAATAAAAATAATTAATATATATAATATAGCTTAATATTTTAAATATATCCTTTAATTATATTTATCCGTAATTAATTAAATATTTATATAATACATAAATATTGATGTATAATTTATAAAATATATAGCTAGTGCATGGCTATGTTATTATTACCCTTTTTAAAAGGTTCCGACCGATTTTTTTGATTTTGGCACAGTTGCACTAATGGTCTACCATATAGCTGGCTAGCTTATCGGGATTGATTTTAATTCGCGCAACTTTTGGCGCAATATCTCGAGCTTATCAGGATTTCCCAGATGGCGGTGGACATATGGATCATAGTTTGGTGTTGGGCCTGCCAGCTCAGGTAGTACGTCAAATCCAGTAGACCAATCGCCCTCGAGCAAAGCTTGATCATCGAGAATTGTCCACGTGCGACAATCTTCCTCAAAGGCGGGGTCATAATCCTCATCGGTCTCTCGAAATTCGTGAAACTTGTTATCTGAGCCTTGGCCATAGTACGTGCGTAGCCAGATCTCTTCATCGTTACGATCCCGCCATAGATGTAGGGCGGCTTCGCGCCGGCGAAGAGATGGCCAAGATGCAATAATCTCACGTATCTCATGTTCTGTGGGAATGTGCGTGATTGTAGTGGCTAGGTAGAACCGACCCGTTGCGTCCCAGTCTTTGGGAACTGAATCAAGCTGGAGATAGGCTCGGACCAGGTCACGCCGTTGGTCAGCTGCGGACAGCGTTGATGAGAAATCCCAATGACGCTTAAAAGGGGCAAAGCACATGTTAGCCCCTAATTAGATGAAGTGACAGGCGATGGCTGCTTACAATGAGATACTGTTCCGCGGGGAAAGCTCCCCATGAAGGGGATATGTCTGCCCTAGGTTAGATGTTTTGAAGCTGCTCTGCCACTGCATTAATTTCTAGCGTTCAGATGCCGACCGTGGTGTGTAAGATGTGTACCAGATATTGAGACAGCAGAAACAACTTCCTTTTATACGCGATACCGCGGTATAGGAAAGGGGCTAACTCAAGGGTGTTAGCATGTCTTCGAAAGGATTCAACTAGTAGATTTGGCTGAACAATCTTAAGTACTTGTAAGACTATCTCACTTGAGGGCATAGACTGATAAAACTTCTGGGATAATTTCCCAGAAGTTCCCCTGACTTTAGTTGTCCTGTTGAACTTGAGCCGGGCCTGTTATTCGACGGTAATCGAACTACATACGTTGATATTTCTGTCTCGATCCCATAGCTACCTATCCATATAGTGATCACGATGATGCTACCTAGCTTTGTATTAGGATTATTCCTGATATTCGCGGTACAGTGCCGCTATCTTGTCCGGAGAGACTGCACGTTCTCTGTCGCCGTATCTGCTGGTGATACTTGCTCGTCTCTCGCTAGCTACTGGGGAATCACCTTGGCCCAGTTTCAAAGTTACAACCCAGGTGTTGACTGCGCCAAGGATCTCACAGTCGATACTAACTACTGCATTGAGTGGGATGACGGTCGACCGCCACCTACTAGCACCACCACGACGTCCAGTACTACCACTTCAACAGCTTCAACAACACCCTCTGGGCCATCCCCTACCCAGACTGGCATTGCCTCCAACTGTAAGTCTATGTCTATATTTTAACCACGTTTATAGAAGCTAATTGAGAGTCCTAAAGGTAACGCATACTACAAGGCTGTCTCAGGCGATACTTGCCAAAAGATCGTCGAATATTTCGGCAATTTTACTCTTACGGATTTGTATATTTTATCCTGTCCACATAACTGAGTCTTCTTCCAAAGCTAACCCCCATTAGCTACAACTGGAACCCGGCTGTTGGTTTAGACTGCTCCCAACTTTTTCTTGGATTTTATTATTGCGTGGGAACAATCTCGAGTGGAAGCGTGACCACTATTACGACTGCCACTAGTTCCACTACTACAGGTCCACCTCAACCTGTGTAATAAGGGCTATAAAGGGCTTGGAATATAATTAAGATTACTAATAATTTTCTAGGGTTTTAAGGTCTTTAGTTTTCCCTTTTTTTCCAAAAGGAAATCTTAACTTATTTATAAATAATTTAAAATATATATTTATTAATTTGGTTAAGTTTTTATTAATATGTTAACTTTATTTGCATATAATTGTATAATTTTATAATATTTTTTATTTAATAAATTTTAAAATAATTATCTTATATTTTTTGTTAATTATTTTTTTTAATTAATAATTTTTTAACATTATTATTTGTATAATACCATTTTTTTTTTAAGTTTATTTTTAAACTAAAGTTTTAAATAAAAAATATAATTTTTTTTAATAAAGTTTAAAAATTTACCGGTTTTTTTAAGTTTTATTAATAAAATATTAAAATTATTTGTTTAATGTTTTTATTATTAAAATAATTAAAAGGTTTTTAAATTTAATACTTTTTAATTAATTAACCTTTTTATTTAATTAAATATTTTACATTTTTTTAAATTTATATAAAATCTTTAACTTTATTTATATAATATTTTTTAAATTTTATTAAAGTTATTTTTTATAAAATTTAATTAAAATTAAATAATATTTAATTATTAACGCGATAAAGTTTAATAAATAAAACATAAAATAAATTATAAATTTTTTATTTTTTAAATAAATAAAATTTAATAATAATAAAAAAAATTACTTTTTAAATTTTAAAAAAGCTTAATATTTTTTTATTTAATTTTTTAACAGGTTATTTTATTTTAATATTTTTATTATTTAATATAATTAATTAACTTTTTTTAAATTTTAATATTTTTTTTTTTATTAATTTAATCTTTTATATATTAATAATTTTTTTTTAAGTGTTATTATATTTTAATATAAATTTATTTTATTTAATATATATATAATTAATTATTTAAATTTTAAAAAATATTGGTAAATAAATTGTAAATTATAAGATAAAAGTTATAATTTACGTAAAATAATATTATATATAATAATGTTAATTTTAAATTATTATATATAAACTTTATTATTAATAATAAGTTTTTTTAATTAATTATTTTATAATTAATAAATGTTTAAAAATAAATTTTAAAAATTTAATTAAATTGTTTTATTTAATTATTAATTTAAAAATAAAAAATTATATTTATTTATGGTTTAATGTTTATAAATTTAAAAAAATTTCGTTATAAATAAGTAATAAATTTAAAATTTTAATTAAAAATAATATTTAAAAAAATTTTATATAATTTTTAGTAAAATTTAATAAAAATTTTAATTAAATTTATAATTTTTATTTATTTATTTTAAAAGGTATAAAATGCGTTATTTTAATAAATAAATTAATAATAAAATTTATAATAATAATATGTTATAATATATAATGTAATTTTATAAATTAAAGTAAACCATATAAAACATATCGGTTTATTTTATTGCGTTAATATTTTAAATATTTTTTTATAAAATCTTATATAATAATTTTAATATTAAACTACCAAAAGTTTCGTATAATAAATTTTAAGGTTTTATTTATTTTTATATATTTTATTATTAAAATATTATGTTTTAATTTTATAATTTTTTTTTAAAATATTTAAAATATTTATAAACGTTTTCTTTTATATAAAAGATTATTTTATAATTTAAAATTATTACTTGGATTATTTTTCTTTTTTATATATAATAAATTATTTTTTTTTAATTTTTTAATTTATTTTATAAATTTAAATAATCATTTTAAAATTAAAAGATTGTTTAAACGATTTAATGTAAAAATAACCGTTATTAAACGTATTATATTAAAATTAAATAAATGTAAAAAATGTTTTTTTTATAATATTAATATAACCGGTTAATATTTAATTTTTTTTTTTAAAGTTAATATTATAATAATTTAAATAAAATATTAACTTTTTTATTTTATGTTTTAAAACGGTAATTAATAATAAATTAATATAATAAAAATTATTACGTTTATTTTATTTATTTTTTATTTAAGATTTTAATAATTGTAAAGTAAAATAAGTTTTAATGGTTAAAAAATATTTTAATTTAATGTTATGTTTTTTTAAAATAATATTTTTATTGATTAAAAAAGTTGATAATTATAAATAATTTTTTATTATATATTTTGTAATTTATTTTTATTAAAGTTAATTTTTAAAAATGAAAAACCATAAATCGAAATTTTATTTTTTTATTTTTTTAAAAAAAAACTGTTTTAATAATAAAATTTAAAACATTAATTTTAAAGAAAATTTATAATTTAAAATTAAAATAAATAAAAATTGGGATTAATGTAAATTTAATTTTTAAATTTTCGAAAATTTTATTTATTTTTAATATTTATTTTTAATTTTTTTTATTTTTTTTATTGATTTTTATAATAGGTTTAATTATTATTAAAAATCTTTTAATAAATTATTTATAAAAGTTTATAAAGTTTATAAATTATTGCAATTTTTTAAAATTAATTAACGGTTTTTATTTTATAATATATTTAATTTTATTTTTAAATATAAAAATGTTTTAAAAGTTAATAATATAGTTTAAAAATTTTATTTTTTAAATTGTTTATTTGTATTTGTGCGGGGCAATTACGAGGTGGTATGCGGTAAATTTTTTTAAAACTTTTTTAATTATTTTGTTATATTTTTTTTAAATGGTAATATATATAAGTTAATAAACATCATTATTACAATAGTTTACATAAGTTATTAAATAAGCTATTATACTTATTTTATTTATACGTTAATTACATCATTAAAATTTATTTTAATAAACTTAAATTAAAATTTGTTAATAAAATCGGACTTACGTTTAATTGCGTTATAAACGCTATAAAACGCTTGGTTTATATTATTATATTTATGGGTTTAAAGTTTAAAAAAATAACATAAAGTTAAAGTTTTAATAAATTTTAATTTAAAACATATTTAATATATTTAACCATAATTAAAATAATTTTTTTAAAAATTAAACTTTATATTTATAATAATTTAATATTTAATAATAATATATAAAATAACTTTTATTTTTATAATTTGAAATTAATATTTTATTTTTTTTACTTTTTTATTTTTTTTACATATTTGTATAACATTACGTTATAATATTGTAAGCTTTAACGTTTAAAAACATATAATAATATTAAAAATGTTATATTAACATTTATATCCGCGCGTTTACATTTATAACCACGTACAAAATAACTTTTATTTTTATAACTCGAAATAAATATTATTTTTTCTTTACCTTTTTATTTTTTTTACATGTTTATATAACATTATGTTATAATATTATAAACTTTAACGTAATATATTTTTAAAAACGTTATAACCGGTATTATAATTAATATTATAACCGATATTATAACTGGTATTACAGTTAATTATTATTTTAAAACGTTTAAAACGCATATATTTAAACGTTTAAAACGCGTATATTTATTAATAATAAAGTTAATAAATATTTTAAATTAATTAAAATTTATTTTTAATATATTAATATTATTATTTTTAATATTATATTTTTAATATTAAACAATTAATTATAATAAAAATTGTTTAAATTACTTTAAACTAAAAATTTAAAATTATTTTTAAAATTATGTTAAAGTTATAATTGGTTAAAAAGTTATATGGTTAAAAAAGGTATAACCGTATAAACAATTTTAAATTTATGGTTTAAATTCATTAAAATAAATTAAAATAACCCACGAAAAAAATCTTTTTTTTTCCTTTTTAATTTATCAAGTTTTACATCAAACAAAACCTTACATAAATAAATTATTAATATATATTAATAATTTATTATTTATTATATTTTTAAAAATATTATTTATTATGGATTAAAAAGTAACGGGTGTGTTATTTAATTTAAAAAGTATAATAAAATATTTGTAAAGTTTATATTTATATTTAAATATTATTTTTTATTTATTATTTTATTAAATGTAAATTAAATTAAATTTGGTTTTTAAGTTTATTTTAATAAATTATTGTAAAATTTAAAATTAATTTTATATTTTTAATATAAATGGAATAAAATAATGTATAAATATTATTATTATATTTAATTTTTAATAATTTATTATTAAACGAAATAAATTTTTAAAATTAAGTTTTAATATAAAAAATATTAAAAATATATAAAAGAAAGTAAATTTATAAATATATTTTATGTTAAATATATTTTTTAATTATAATTTAAAAGTGTTAAGTTTTTTTTATTTATAATATAAAAAAAGTTTTATAAAAACGTTTTTTTTTTATTAAATTAATAATATAATTTTATGGTTAATATTTAAAAAAACGCTTTTTGATTTTTTTATTTATTATAAGTATAAATTTTTTAAATTTTTTAAATATTTTTAAAAAAAAGTCATTATAATTATATTATATTAATATAATATATTTAATAATAGTTTTTTTTTATATAATAACGTTGGTAATATTTAAATAAAAAATATATTTTATTTAAATTTAAAAAAATGTTTATAAATTAATAAATTTTTAATTATTATTATAAAAAAATAAAATTATATTTATTATTTATAATATTAAATTTAAAATTTAAATAAATATAATGTTTTATTTAATGTTTAAATATTAAAAAGTTTATATAATAATAATTTTTTTTTTTATATAAATAATATTAAAAAATATAATTATTTTTAGCATATTTTTTTTTATTTTAAAAGAATTTTATAGTTTAGTTTTAAATATAAATATAATGGGTATAATTGTTTTTATATTAAATAATATTTTTATAAAAAAATTTTATTTATTAAATATTAATATTATTTTTATTAAAGGTTTTTTTTTTAAATAAAATTTTTTTTATTTTTTTTTGTAATTTATTAAATTTTTCGGTTAATTATTTAATTACGGTAAATTGGTATAAATAAATATTTTATTTTTATTTTTTATTTTAGTAAATTTAAACCATAAATTTGATATTATTTATGGGGTTATAT